ATTAAATTAATCAAATAATTTACAATGTTTGTGAATGTGATCAAAGTTTAGCATAATCGTAATTAACACATGAGAATTATGACTAAATACCAAAGGAAAAATATAAATCATCTCTTGTGGTGTTTGCTATCCATCTTATATTGTACTTAGATAAAATGAATAAAGCATAAATTAAACTTACCTTAATAGAATCCTTAATATCTTTCTTCTCACTGGTTTTATTTCTGGCGTCTATGCCTTATTTCAAAATTACCAAAAGCATCGCAATACTCACCTAATTAAAAATAATAATCAAAAATAAAGGAAAAATTAAAAATGAGAGACTTCCAGTACGCGGAAACCTTTATATTTCCCCAACGACTCATGCTATTTTAATTTGCCTATACGTGCTATATAGCCATTGATTTTCGGGCAGCGTTGATTTAGTTCGCATATAAATATATCTATTGATGTATGAAATATATAGTTCACATTACACTCAACGAACTATACACAAAATACAATAGATTAACCAAGCTTAAATTGACTTAGCTGGCCTAATTTGAAAAAGGGTTGGTAATTTATATAGCTTTGTTCCTTAACCGCATATTAGGTATCTTTTTTGATTTAATATAAAAATTTATTAGATTATTTTTCAGTGAAATGAAAGGCATGCCAGCATCAAGTAAAATTATTCCAGAGAGATTCTATAAAATATCCTTATATAAGGAATTTGAGTTAGACTACCATTTAAAGAGCAAATATAGAATAAAGCGTCTCAGGTAATCTATCTTAATAATACAGCTTTTCTATTTGAAGTAGCCTTATAAAATATTAATCTTCTTCATTAAATGTAGAATAGAAAATTATCAGCACTATTTTGGGTTTATTTTAAGCCAATATTCTAACTCAATTTATTCACTGAATACTAAGGCTTTCCCAAGATTGACATTAACTTAAAAGTTAAAATAATGAAGAAATTTATTTTTAAAAGTAAAAGGATGTTGTCTAAATAGTAGAGCTAGGCTAATTACTCGTATGAGTAAGCTATTTAAACCTTATTAAGCAGTGAGAAAAATCCTTCATTTATCCATGATATTTATCATAAACCATGTCAGGCTTTTATAAATCTGTATATTGCCATATGCCAAGATCGATTCAAATCTAATCGAGTACCATTTTATAGAAGTTATTTGACCTTATTTTCGCAACTCGTTCATATAGGTAGGAAGACTTAGAGAAAAGCACCTTGTCCGGAGTCCATCATCATTTCCAGAGTAGGACCATGGACGCGGTTCATTCCCAGACGTTTCGCCGGCATCGTAGTCGGCATCGTCAGTAAGTTTTAACATTCGTAGCACCATATTACAACTCGTCAAAAGAGACAAGTTAGGCCGATCCTTTAACCAAACGTGTGCTAAACAGTTATGGTATTTCCCCTTCTGCTTTGGCCTCTTCACATTTCCAATATCCTCCAATCACGTCCTTAATCTCACAATATTTTACTTGCTTAATTAAATGTGGTACTATGTGCCCTTTTGAGCGATTTTCATGAGAGCCCTCCGCACTCCGCGCTGGCCTTCTTACCCCCCTTCATCCTTGTGCTGGGAATGTTGATCAGAGTCTGCATATTGTTACGCAGTCCTCCTTTCCTAGGTCTTACCACAGTATCTCTCTTGCCCCATAATATCCGTCTGCCCTCTCCCTGGTTCACATATTTCACTCAACTAAATAACAAAAGCAAAAAATAATAAAGCGTAATTTATTGTAAAGAAACGCTTGATTTATAGCACACTCGAATAGAATTATGAAACGTTACATTAAACGAAAGTATTTAGTTTAGCCGATCTTAATAAATATGTTTTTTCAATTAATAAAAATTCAAACATCAGATAGCAAATAAATCGTTTGATAATTTTTATGTAACTTTATCAAAGGACAATATATTATGGCTTCACACATTATAATTTCTGTTTACATTTCCACCGTTTAGCAGTACTTATCGAAGGTATAAAGACTAAGATGTTTTGGCATTTTGTGTGTCCGCAGTCTCCTTTCGTTGTAAAGACGTTGTGTGTCCTTGTGTTCCAAACTTGGTCATATTGGTAGGAAGACTTAGAGTAACGCACCTAGTCCAGAGCCATTGTACGCATGAGCATTTCCAAAGTCGGACCGTAGACGTGGTACATTCCCAGACGTATTGCCACATCGTAATCGGCATCCTCAGTGATCTAGTCAGGCAGAAGGTGAGATACCATAATGTTTAGCACACGTTTGGTCAAAGGATCGGCTTCACTTGTCTCTTTGGCGAGTCGTTGTGTGGTAAAAAGAATGGTGGTACTCACTGACGATGCCGACTACGATGCCAGCGAAACGTATGGGAATGTACCACGTCCACGGTGCGACTTTGGAAATGGTCATGCATCAATGGACTCTGGACTAGGTGTGTTCCTCTAGCTCTTCCTACCAATATGACCAAGTTGCGAAAACAAGGTCAAACAACTTCCATACTTATCGAGTTTATTTTTAGAATATTAAATTATTAACCAAATAATTTCCTACATGATTTTTAAGGCCATATTTTTACTCTACTTTAAAATGAATTAAAATAAAGTTAAGTTTATCAAAAATTGTATTAATTCATACCTGGCCTATAAAATAATCTCTAAACACCAATCACCTCGTGTAATATTATTTATGCAATATAACTGGCCAGCTATACTAAAACTGTCTCAAACCTGCTTCTCATCACATGTTAATTAAACTAAGTAACCAATCTTTGCATGACTATAAAGTTCTAATTCCATGTAGGATTTTGTAGATCTTCCTAGTGGATTGTACAGCAGAATATCTTAGTTGAGAAGTTAGCCAATTAATGAGGAGCGATATTTATCGGAAACGTTAGCTACGATTTTCAATCCCTCATCCTATAGTTGCGTTAACATAATAAATTCATCAAGTGGTGAGGACTATATTTAATTGCTAATTTATTGTTTCATTTAAAGTTCATGCAAATTTGTTTGGTAGGTTATATTATTGATTTTCAATATAATGCTTGGAAGTTCGCACTCTAATGAAAATCTTTCAGAGTAACAGTTGAGCAGAGATTCAACGTTGAGACAAGAACCCTAAATATATTTCCAATTCGATTATATACTATTTATTTATTAGTTATAAATGAGGTGGGTTTTATTGTACTCACGAATAAATATAGAATTCAATTATAAATAAAGTTTTAATTAGCTTTATATACTTTACCATTTCTTTTAAAAAAAAATTAAGTTATGCCTTATTTAAATTCAAAATACTCTTTTTTCACAGATGCTAAGTAGCACAACCTCAAAGCATTGCTATGCGTTTGAATCATTTAAATGATCCTGGATTCTTTAACTATTTTTGGAGTATATTAATTAGTGGAAATCAATTTTATTTAGATGATTATTTTTATAAATACTATTCTTAAATAAGCCGAAAAAAGTTGAATATCGTTTTGCTATTTAGAATTAATCAGTAAATACGAGGATTTAAATCTAATGTTCCTAATAGTATACGATAAGATACCTTGCTAAGCGGTGTCGCTATCGATTACTTAACAAATGATTTCTTGTGTTTATATAGTAATGCTTCTTTTCAGTTCGAGTGTCATAATGTTTCAGCGTACCTGATGACGCTATTTCCTGATAACCACTTTTAACAAGAGGGTACTAAAGTTAGTTACTAATTAACTCGGTTCTGAAGCGGTTATGATAAAGAAAATCTTATGAAAGGCTCAAATACCCCATATAAAAAATTTTAGCCAAACTAGACATCTTGAACAAAGAAAGTATGAGCCTATCAGGGATGCTAAGATTAATATCTCTGCAGTACAGGCTAGTTAGCCTTGAACGATGTTTATTTTTGAGGCTGGAATAAGAAAGACGCACTTGATGCAACTGAAGTGATGCGTATTTGATTGTGCAATTTTTTGTTCGCTACATCTTATAGTTATTGACAAAATGTCATAAGTTAATGCTGCAGAAGTTTTAATAGCTAAACCTTTTACGGATGCTCCTTGGTGGCTAACTAATCTAGTTACTCCGATTAAAATTTAACAATATTCTAGGGCTTATTTTTGTTTTACATTTGTGCGTAAGGAAAATAAAATGAATGTATTCTTTGCCTCTTAGAAACATGATTTTCGATATCCCCTTAAGCTAGCGGAAAGTGGATATTTATCATGTAATTTTAGAATCAGGCAATCTTTATAAGGGAGTTTATGGTGTCGTAAATAAATTTTATTTAATTTGTCAGATAAGAATTTATGTACACATTAAACCCCAACTCAGTATAAATTGATATTATCCCAAAGCAAAAATGTCTGCTATGTTAAATTAAGGATAAATGTGAAGCTTTAATGAAATTTACAAGTTTTAATGGCCTCGCAGCATCAAGAGGCATGCTATAATTTCCTTTAATTTCAATTTATTTGCCTTATAGAACCATATACTGTATCTTTAACTTTGATAGATTGATTCATTCAGCGGTCTGTAAGGTGAACCCTATTTAAAGCATAGCGACGGCATTGGGTAATTAACATTTGTCAAGTCAATTTTAGAAATAGATGACACACCTCCATATGGATTACCAAACTATATTGCAATAATCTCCATATTTTGAGTCTTATACAGAATTTCAAATATTAAGTCTAGAAACATATACTTTGTCTAGATGTTTACAGTGTTATGTTTATATTGTTGTACATACTAATAACTAACTTTTATCCTCTACATTTCATCGCTACCCATAGTACTAAATTATATCGTGTAAAAAACTATTAATTTGATAATGAAAAGCAACAATAGTATGCTAAAAATTTCTCTAGCTCACAATGTAATATTCTTTTAGAAAAGTTTGTAAAAAGTTATAAGGAAGACCAATATAACTTTCCTTTCCTTACATTTACTATTTGCTAAACCTAGTTAATTAAGCATAATCACTACATCACTCTCTAACATTATTTATTTTCCATTCTAAGTTTCATAATGAGGCATCTTGGTGTATTCCATCTATCATCCACTTTTGAAACTGCCAAATTCGCTAGGCCAGCAGGTAGCTGCTTTCTCGACCTTACTCCTATTCGATCTAGCCTGATCATATTCATCTTTCTTTGCTCCGTCCAGTTGCCACATGCTATTGGATTTTCCTGGCCACATGAATCGTTTTCCACTTGGGATTCCGGCAAAAGATCAATTTTGGCTGATGTTGGCCTGGGTTTAAATGAACTAGACAATCTGAATGATTTTCAACAATTTCTTACAAGCCTAGACACTGATTCTGTTTCCCGAGAGCCACTTTTGCGCCGTGCTTCTCTTACTACTGGATACAATTCCATCACTGCCGGAGGCGCAGTCGCAACCGGAGATAGAATGAATGGCCAAAATAATGATGCCTCCTCTTCAGGGGAGCTTGCTCCAGTACTTCCATGGAGTCGCAGCCGAGGTATTATTCGCAAGGTTGAAAACACGAACCCTGGAGATGGGCTCGTTACTGCAAGCGGCAAACCTTTTGTAAATGAAGGAATTGCAGGCCTCATTGGACTGGGCGGAGGTGGTATACGCGGAGGCATTGATACTGACCAAAAAGCTGTTATCAACAATGACAGACACGGATTGAGCAATAATTCTGGGTCGATTGGGGGAAGGCGTAGGATGTCAGGAGGTCCTAGAAAGCAGCTTCGTTCACGATGGCCACATTCTGAGGTGGGTAATTGGATGCGTTATGGCCGGCGAAGGTGAAGCTAAATGAAGTATGAGGCCTTACCCAATTAACGCTTCGATTCAATCTCAAACAGCAGTGAGAAATTAAAGGATAACAACTATCTCTGAGAAGCTACGTAAACTCACTTATAAATTAAAATTGCTTTTAGAACAGTATAATATATCTTCTATTTAAGTTTCACCTGAATTTTACAAACGAATAAATTTAAAAAAAGTTCTTAAAAGGGCTTGGTTACAAGCTGTTATTTAAATATTTAAGTACGCTAAAATATGTCAATCTTCAGATAAACTGTCATGCATATATTGTAACAGCCATCATTTCCTTGAAATTAGAAGCAATCATGCAAAGAATTTCCTCTCCTCCTTCTTGAAAGATACAAATAAAAATGAGCTCATTCCATAAAGTTTATTTATAAAGACAGCATATAAATTGATTATTTTAAATTGTTCTTCCTTTATACAAAATATCTGGATATCACTAATTGTTTATACACAATATTCCCGAAGTCAATTGTTCATTTATGCTCTTAGGCAATTTATTAGAAGACTAATTTTGGAATAGTGAACATGATAGTTTGCAAAACCCAACAACACGTAAAAATGAAAGTCGAGGATAATTTCAAAAATAATGCATTTTAGATTTTGGTCTTCATATACCAGCATAATTGGCTTTCAACATAATAGGTAAACAAATGAATCCTAAAATTGTGACATCCAGAAGGTAAATAATCAGTTAATAATTCATGAAACAGTTTAATTTTGCCAGTAACTTACTTTTTCTGAAATATTATTTCGATCCACGTGCCTTCATAATTACTTAATATAGGGAAAATGGTATTGATCCTATTTTACTGAGCATATAAATAAATAGAAGATTAAAAATATTATGTAATGAAATCCAATCCAAAGACATGGGCTAAAATAATAAAGTTTTCTTGTCATATAAGGGCTTAAATTTCTGATTCTATGTTTCTTTCGAAACGATTATTACCTTTTTAGTGGCTGATACTATTTGCAAACTTAAAGTATCAAGAATAGTAGGTTTACTCTAAATTAAAGTAAAACTTTATTGTACCTGAAAAATATCCGCCATATTTGAAAAGAGGACACTTACCTTAAGAAATAATTCCTATTTATTAATTTGGGTTATATAGAGGCATTATGTTGAAATGAAAAATAAGTTAAATGTTAATATTGTATTATATATTTGAATTTATGGAGATTACTATTCCAGAA